GCATCCAATTTTCAACCTGTTTAAATTTATGAAATTCTATTAAGCTTTACTTCAAGGATTTAAACTTCTACATTATTATTATTAATTCATCTCGTTACTATTTACTAATACTAAAAAAGTAATACTTGCTTCATTAAAAAACTTATCCATATTTTCAAACGAGAGACTATATGCATATGTGCTATCGTATTCGACAATAAGCGCTTTAATCTTAGGTGTTACTTTAATCGGTAACGTATTGTTCGTCGCCTGTGCGGGCAATAATGGTTCTTTGACGAATTTTGGACCAGCAGAAAGTGGACCATTCCGAAACCATAAATGAGGCGTGTGATGTATTTTATCGCTAGCTTCAGCTGCACATTGTTGTAGAACGCTTGGTTTAAAGGGAAATATACTACCATTGCAACATGGCATATACTCTATCTGAGAATCAATAGCATCCTTACAATGTCTGTTCATCCACAAACGTAATGTTTCAATAAAGCAATTAGATAATAAAGGTCCAGTAGTACTGCGGTAAAAAGATTGCCTCCGTAAATTTCGGCAAAACTGATCAAGCCAAAGTTGAGACTTTGGATGAGAAACGTCAAAAGTATCATCCCAGTCAGGTGTTCCTCGTTTACGAGGATCAAGATAATCACCATTATCGACTGGATTTATGCCCCATACAAACCGTAACGGTAAAACTTCAGCATCTCCACCAACCTGTATGAATCAAGTACAATACATTATAATTATATATATATATTTGTGATACAAATATATCTACAAATAAGTAAAGTAAGCACCATTTCATATCGCTCAAACCAGAATTTCCGTGAATATACTAGGTCGTATTGTTCAAATGGATGCGTATTGTGGAATAATTGAAAATCCATATAATCTGGCAGTTGCAAGCCCGGATAATGGAAGACGACACTGCAACACGCTAATGCCGTAATTCCCAGACTCAGTAACCAAAACCATCGTAATCGAAGCACTAATCCAGTAAGAAAGGTGGTGAATCCTACTGTCACTTTGTCTCCCAAGGATCGTAAAGGACGAATAATTTTTCTGGTAATAAAATTGACAGGCGACAGAGTGGACAAATTACAATGCTCTGATACAATCACACACGCAGGTAACCATGTAATCATTAAGAAAAAATTTGCAATGACTGTCATGCCTGCAAATAAACTATACAAGATTTATTATATATATATCTATATATATATAGAAGTTAAGATCATTTAAATATAGAACAGAAATATGTTCTAAAAACTTTACAAGAAAATTAGTACCTGAAGCAATTGACAGCAGTGACATTACTGACAATCGATGCAAAAAAAGCTACTGCTGTAGTAAGAGATGTAACAAACATAGCTGGAAAAGCATGTTTCATCGTTTCTTGTACCAAATACACTAATCCGTCATCAGAAAGTTTATGTTGTTTTCTAGATTCGTATAATTTACAGTAAATAAATGCATCATCTGCTCCAATACCTGTAAAAAATTTATTATAATAATGTATTTATAATATTTTTATGTAGATTCTATTTATGATTATTTTGATATAAAGTACTAACCCACAGCTACAACAATAGCCAATAAATTCATAAACGGGAAAAATTGAATATGTAATACAAGAGTATAAGTTGCATACGAAATGCCAAGGCTAAATACTACTGCAAAAATTGTTGCTACAGTCAACACTATAGAGCCAGTATATGCCCAGATACAAAATGTAACAAAGATAAAACCGGCGAGTACCAGACTCGAGTCAGACAATATATCGCGATCAAATAGTGTACTTTTTAGACCAAGTTGAATGCCTTGTACACGAAAGTTTCCATATATTAAGTCATTGCTATCTATTGCTTTATAAAAATCTAAAGTTGCAGAGCTTGCCGCAATTGGAAGAAATAACATTGCAGAATGCAATGTCGAATTTTGTTTACTGTTAGGATCCGTCTTCTGTAACAATCCAATTAATATTCAATATCAACATGAGTATTTATTTGTTAAAACAATAAAAGTTAAAATAAAACACTCTCTTACACTCGGGATAAAATTAACGTCCAAAAGATAGTGCAGTAAATGATAAGCTGCATTTCTCATGTAACATTCGGTTGGCACATGTTTTTGACAATTGAAGTCTTCTGCACAGTTAGACGTCAACTGACGGTTATGATAGTAATAGGCACATTGTTGCAAAAGTGTCTTTACTCTGCTCAGATCATTCTCTGTTACTCCCAAACAAGAACTTCGATTAGATAAAAGTGCCACATAGTTAGCAGGTGACCAACTTCTACAACATTTATGATCTGCGGCATCATTGCGATTGATTTCCGTCTGACACAAAGATGGAAAGTGAACATTTCCACGAAGTACACCATCAATGTGACATTGAGCTAATATACCTTCCATTGACCATAAATTAAAATTTTTTTCTTCTGAATCTACAGCGATCACGACACGAGCATATGAAGAAGTTGGTAAATTACAGAAAAAATTATCACTATCAAAATGATTTTGAGTCTTGTCACTTATTTCTACAATATGCTTATCTTTTAATTCTAGTAATTCTTCCCATGTATCTTTGTCTTCTTGATTGGCTTCTTTATAGTCTGTATTATTTAGCATTGTTTGATGTTTTTTCCCCTTTTTAATTTTAATTTTTGGTGTTTTATTAAGAATACCCTGAGGAGTAGACCGACTATGATTTTTCGTACTTGCATTAGACTGCAAATCAAGTTCAAAATTTAACAATACATTTTGGATTATTTAACGTATACTAATATTTCTAAATCCAGTTATCTGATTGGATAAAGATATAGGATAGTTGAAAGAAATATCTTATCATTCATACCTGTTGACTTAGTTGATGTTTATAATATTCTAAAGGATTATCAGTAAGTTCTCCTCTTCCTTTTGTAGCTTCTATTAAGTGATTCCACGCTGTCAGTCTTTGCGCTAAAATCGTACCTCTCGCTTCAAAACCCTACAATATAGATATGTATTTAAAATATATCAATTGTATAGAATTTTTCTTTCACATGTCTGCAAAAAAATGTTTCCACATACCATTTGAGGATCCTTAAAATCTGGAAACTTTTCAGTTATAAGCGGAATAATTAGACATACAGAAGAGAATGTAAAAATAATCAGTAAAATAATATATGGATGATGAGCAATCATACGAGGATACCAGGATGTTTTCATTTTAATAAAGATTTCTCTTACTTTTGTATGTATAATATGTATATATATATATATATATATGTATAATTTTTTTAAATATATATTTTAAATATATATATCTTCCGATGAGTTGTAGATAAAAAAACCATCAATGTTCGATTAATAGTTAGTCATCATTTATCATTCGTTTACAGTTTGTTGAAGAATTCGTGCTAATATTAAAATACCCTTCTATAACAAAGGCAATTGTCTCGCTTCACATAATTATGCTCATCGTCTCGTTTTATTCAAATACCTCCGCAGGGAGGTAGCAAATGCGGTTTTTAGTCGAACAATTTTTTGTCGACTCCTTTATTTCTACTACGGTTCACGTTCAGAGTGTAATTTAAAAATCGTCGGAGTAAATTTCAATGTCCGAGCGAATGCAGAAACGACCATACGAATGTAGTGAATTTCAACATACGCATAAACAAAATTATTTGAATCTGTAGATGCTTCTTTTTATTATCATATCAATAATCAATACAAGCCGAATGTGTCGTATTCGTGATTATCCTGTTAATTTTCCACTATTGGAGAATTCGTTTAGTGCATCTACTCCGAATAACAACACGTGTTTACATTACGGTGACAAATGGTACGACCCGTTGCTGCTGGACGAGACGCTTCCCTCACACATGCGCGGCGACAACAGCATCTCGATTCAGAGCAATCAGGAGCTCTGAATTATTTTGGCAGACTTTAATACGTGTGAAAGATTAGATGCTTGAGATTAATTAGAAGTATAAATAACAGTTTGTTAAATGCAGCGTTAAATAATAAGCACAATTTATATATTTGGAGCTCCTAGTAACTTAACTCTCGGCAGCCAATAACACATTGCCATCGTTAGGAACTTTGATTAACGACTTCCTACTCCCTAGAAAATGAATCCTTTGATTGGATAGCGAATCAATGTCGGGAATAAAGTTTTTCGACGAGATTTGCTGAACTCTCTGCACTATTGTCTTTCCTCTCTTTCTCTCTCTCTCCCTTGTCATCCTCCAGGGGGTTAATTGTGTGTCTTGAAATAAGATGAAAATTACAACAGTGAGCGAATTCACCAAGTGTGAGCAATGAAATTATGAATATTCCAGTAAATGTGCTTGTTTTTGTAATTTTTACCTCATTTCGAGATACATAAGCGACCTATCTTATTTTAAGTGCAGAAGAGAAGAAGCAACGTACAGCTGCAAGTAGCAAACTTGTGTGTATCGAATCTTCATTTCAGTCTAGTCGGAGTGTCGGAGTGAGAAAGTGGAGATAGTCGTAGACTTTTTTTGTAGACGTGTTACATCCCGCATGATATCAACCATGGTGATATCAACCACGAATCAACCTATCCCACGTAGTGCATTCGTGCTCCACGTTTCTCGTATATAACATGTACGCTTGCGTACGCATACATACAAATGTCACATAACCCGCCACGGACGTAGGAGAAAGGAGAGACCCAGGAGAAACGGCAGACAGCTCGAAATATTGTCACGTCCACTGGAATAAGACCGTGTCCTTCATACGTGCGTATTACTCCGTTTTATTATAATTATCGTTCTCCTTCGATTGAAATACTCGAGATTCTCAAACACACGTAATCTTGTAATACGTGCAATATTGTTTTATATCAGATCGAATCATCAGATGTTTACGTTTCACGCAGCACGTAGGCGCGCTAATGTGTCTTGAGAGCAACACGGAGTTTGAACCGATTTGAGCTGTCACTTTTATCACGGTCTGATTAATGTTGCGACAAGCCAGGCGCATCAGTGACTTTTCCTGAAATGAATCTTGGAATTGACGAAAGAATGTTCTATCGACTGTTCCTGGCGATTTTGCTTTTCCATCTGCAAGTAGACGGAAATTATTTTGGGACTAATTCTAGGAAAGACGATCAATGCTTCTGCAAGGTATTGAATATTATTCTTGATGTTATTTCCTAAGTTTCAAATTTATTTTGTTTTTTGCATTTATTTCTAGTTTTAGAAATTGTATTGTTACTTCTATATCACATATTTATCTTTCTAATAAAATAAAAAGAGCATGTTTTTATAGAAATATCTTAATGTAATTAAAAACAGTTACATATTTATAATATAACATGTTTATATAAATATTATATTATATAGAAAATATGATGTAACATTTATTAATTAAGTATGAATACTATATTTATCATATAGAAAATTAATTAAAATTACAGTTGAAAGGATCTGTAGATGACTGTACTTGCAATGTTGATACTGTGGACTATTTCAATAATATGAGAATATATCCAAGAATTCAAAGTCTTCTAGTCAGAGATTATTTTAGATTTTATAAAGTAAACTTAAAACAGGATTGTCCATTCTGGGCCGACGATAGCAAATGTGCTATACGTTACTGTCACGTGCTACCCTGTCAAGATGTAAGCATTCTTTATGTTAAATCTATTTTAAATAAATATCACAATATTTTTATATTTTCTGTAATTTTTTGCAGGATGATATTCCTGAAGGTTTAAAGGGAGATATTCCAAGAGATATTCATCTTTATGAAAATCCAGTAGATAAATACAGAGCCGATGCACAGATTAATGACTGCAGGCACAGTGCAAAAGATTATAATATAGAACTTGGTTATTTGAACACAACAATTAGGTAATTAGTAGGATATAAATATATATATTTTGGTATATAAATATTAATATACTATAATAAGAGTAAAAGTCAAAGATAAAGTATAAATCTGATTATAGTTCAGAGAATTACAAAGAATTTGAACGATGGCAACAGCATGATGATGCTCAAGATAATTTCTGTGTAAAAGAATCTAGTCCTGGAGAATATGTGGATCTTTTACTTAATCCTGAAAGATATACAGGATACAAAGGAGCCAGTGCACATAGAATTTGGCGATGTATTTATTTAGAAAATTGTTTTAGGTATATAACTGTGTTACACCAATTATGTTATTTATATTTATTTTATTATATTAATTTTATTCGAATATGTATATTATATTTGTTTCATAGGCCTGAAAATTCACCTCACATTTTTATACAATCTTCTAAGATAAATGGTAAGTGTTGCATCACATCTCAACTTCATTCTTCATATAAACCTATAGTACAAGTAAATAAATCATATTTTTCTATATAGTGCTTAGATTTTTACTTGTGCTTATTTCAGCTTAAATATATTTTTGAAATCATTTATATAAAATATAATTTTAATTTATTTTGAAAAAAATATTAAAAATTTTAATAATTATGTTAACATAATTAAAATTATATTTAATTACATTAAATCAAACATTGTTATATAAATTGTTATTCTTAACATAAATATATTATTTCAGGAATGTGTTTGGAAAAACGAGTTTTTTATCGAGTTATATCCGGTTTACACGCCAGTATCAACATACATTTGTGTTCAAAATATTTGTTGGTTCTGCAAGATAGTTTACAAGTATCACCTGAAAATCAATGGGGTCCTAATTTGAATGAGTTACAAAGAAGATTTTCTCCTGAAACAACAGGTGGCGAAGGTCCAAATTGGCTAAAGAATCTATATTTTACGTATTTACTTCAGTTGAGAGCTCTAGCCAAAGCTGCACCTTATTTAGTAAGAGAAGAATACTATACAGGTAATGAAGTGGAGGATGAGGATACAAGATTGGCTATGAACGACATACTGAACGTTGTTAGGTAAATATTCTATAATCTTTTATAATACATATATGAAGTAATTGTGAATTATTTATATGCAATTTGTATTTTAGATCATTCCCGGTACATTTTAACGAATCAGTTATGTTTACCGGTGGAGCAGAGGCACAAGTGTTGAAAGAAGAATTTAGACAACATTTTATAAATATCTCACGTATTATGGATTGCGTAGGATGTGACAAATGTAAGCTATGGGGCAAATTGCAAATCCATGGACTGGGCACTGCGTTAAAGATATTATTCTCTGGAAAATTTGATAAATGGGAATCAACGCTTAATAATCTTAATCGAAAGTCATTCTTTTTGGAAAGGAGTGAAATTGTTGCTTTGGTGAATGCTTTCGGAAGGTAGATATTCTATTTTTAGTTTTTGTATAGAGAAAAGAAAGTTTCTAATTTATTAATAACATGATCGAATTTTTGCAGGTTATCAGAAAGTATATTTGAATTAGACAGATTTCGCAGGATGATGAGATAACGTATTATCTATTTGTAATTAGAGATTCTTCGTACCACTACGAAACATCACATAAATGCATCACATTGCTTAGATTTTCTAAGTAACCTTTTAAGTACTTTCCTTATTTGTAGATCGCCGATTTTTATGCATCCGATTTAATTGAGTATGCGTTTGTATTAATATAAGTTTTTAACGTTGCATATTTAAATTAAATCAATCTAATTATATATATTTATATATTATACATTATATAATTAAATAGATCTTATTCTATATTTTATATAAAATTTTATACAAGGATTTTTTCTAAACAACAAAGATGAAAAATATGTTGATCCATATTGGAATAATTCAATCACTTGAATATAAAATTTTGAAGCTTCATAATTATCAGTTTAATTGTCAATTGCAATTAAATTTTGACTCCAGTTAATTATAATTATCTCTTCCGATACTATTATAAAGGAATGCTGTATATACATGCACATACTCATAAATATGCATAATATAGAATATAATATGTAAGGGTTGATTGCACCCAGTGTTTACTCATGCAAATAATTTTAATAAGTTTTCTTCCTACATATTGTACTATAATTAAGACTATATAACATAAACTGAGCTGAGAATTATTAATTAAGCTTAAAAAGAAAAAGTTATTGGTAAACAATTGATTATTGTAGTTAGATGTATTTATCTTATAAGACTGGCGTCCGAATTGATATTTTCTTCCGATTTGTATTATAGCTTTCCAACTCCGTCTGTGATAAATATTTTATCTAAGGCAACTATTTATAGCTTAAATTTATGTATATTATGCTTTAAAGTTAGGATTTTGTTTATACAATACATATTTTTATATAATCGCTGGAATATAAAATCTTAACTGATAAGAGCGATTCATTGTTTGCAAAGATACAGAATATCTTATAAAATTATTGTGTACAAATATATAAATAATATCATTTTCGATATGCATATATATATGTATATATAAAAAATGTATATTTTATATATATACATACATATATAATAATATATGTATGGCTTGTGTGCAATAATCTGGATTGTACTTGCGAATTTTTGCATATATGTAACATTTTTATTCATATTATTAGAGAGAAGTTTGGTGTGGTATATATCAATATTTTGTGAGAATGATATAACATGGTAGTTATAAACTGAAGAAAAAAAAATAAATTTGAATACAACATTAACAAAGGTACTTTAATATAATTTCACAATTTTTTAATTCACATTCTCTCCAGAAATTAGAATAAATCTGAAGCTACGAATTTAAATTTCAATGACTGCATTCTTCTTGTAAAAATATGATTTGTTAAAAATAATAATAAAATTTGTTTAAAAAAGTACAAAAGTAGAGCCAAATTGAATTTATTGTATATTAATATTTCTGATTTTTTTAGGATATTGAAAAAGTGCACTCTAATTAATTTTAATTTTAAATTATAAATTTAACATTTATAATATATAAATATTAAACTTATATTATTTCGTTTTAATTAATTAATATTTGACAATAGCTGTTTATGTGAATTCTCGCTCATTTCAATTAAATAAAAGATTAATTAATGTTCTTTTTAATATATCTAAGAAAAATCAGAATATAATATAATATATAAATAATTTAAAAGTTACTCAAGACATATATATTATAAATAATGATACAGAAGAAGGGCTACGAGCCTAATAAATTCGTTTTAATTTAATAAAAATAAATATGAAAATAATTGTTTAATTTATATTAATAAAATATAAAATCAAACAAACAAACATTTTGACTCCGATTGAGTCATTCTCAATGTTTAAAATATAACGATTATAAGATATATATATATATATAAGATTATAATGTATTCTCTCGATTCTTTGTACTTTTTTGTCCTTGACCGACTCTACTTATAACATAGATTTTATTATCTCAATGATGAATATAAAATTCTTATATTTGAAAAAAGAATATAATTTAATATTACTATTTTTTTTGTTCGTTTTTTATCGCAGTGATATTTTATGTAAATATTTTATGTAAATAGTTTTGGTAAACGTTCAGAGTAAAAATATGAATTCTTAATAATTTGTAATTAAATCCAGATTGATTTAGATAATTTGCAAATATGCGATGAAGAGAACATAGTGTGCATTCTATATAAAGATTTTAAAATAATATATATTATATGCGTTTATTAACTTCTACATCAGATGAGCAGATGGTAAGCGAGCTTCTTATGAACAAATTAATTTGCATTAAATAGATACAAAGTCATTAAAAATCTTCCTTTTACCATGGATTTCTAATTCACATACACGCCCCATACATGCACACACGATTAGGACAAAGTACCGGTTTAGCTATTAAATCATACGAATGACAAGCATTTACAGGCTTCAGAACGAAACGCACGCGCGCTGTCATTCTCCGCGAATTTGATCAGTGTTGATCAGTGCGCGTTCCAGGTGGCAGAGAGCACTTGACGTTAAGAGCAACGTCAAGTCATGTTATGCGGTACCACGAGGAATTGAATCTCAACGTGTTTCTCCCACGCGTTAAACATGAGTCACAGCGTCGTCCACGACGTCGTCCATCGCTCAGCAGTCGCCGGCGACAACACGGGTGTGTCCGTTGAATTGGTCGCGCTCCGATACGATGGGATCAAGTGTGCCAGTCGCCGCCTCGTCGTAGGGTAAGTGTGTCGGCGCTCGTCGCGGGTGTCAGGCCACGTACGTACGTATAATAATTATACCTACGCACGTCGCGGTCGCGCCGGTATGCACGGCCGACCAGCCGCCACGATGACTACGGCGACGACGGCGGCTGGCATCCCGCATGACAAGACCGTCGCCTGCAACGGCAAGGACGACGTACGGGTGATAACGCAGCCTACCATCAGGAGCGGACTCAGGGTGTACAAAATCGTGGTGCTAGGCGACGGCGGTGTTGGCAAATCAGGTACCCGTCGTCTGATTGATTTATTAGAATAATGCTTCATCAAACGTTTCACTGTGCATTCTGTACTATAATTACATGCCTTGCTTTTCAGCTGTCACTTTGCAGTTTGTCAGTCACAGGTTTCTAGACTATCATGACCCTACAATAGGTAAGTCGCGTTCTTTGCATTGCAAAGAAAATTGGAGCTTGACTCTCGAGTGAATCTTATAAAATAGCAGAAAACACAATTGAAAAGTAAACTCGTATGAGTAAAATACAATTTGTGTAGATAATAAGTCAATTTTTTAAAAACAAGTAGGATAAAGAAATATAGATGTCTTTTATTCACATTAAAGATCTGTATGTTTAGAATAGATTTAACTTTTTTTACAACAAAATAATTCTTTTTCAGTTTTTCTCTTATTATGTTATAAATATAATGAGGGCAAAGAGCCAAGTAATTTAACAAACAGCTTTAATTCAAATATTCATTATATAAACATTACAAAAGCAAACGTTTCAACTGTGATCGGGTCATTTTCAATACATAAAATATAAAATACAATATTATTATAAGTTAAATTTATACAATTTTGATTCAATTAATTCGTCTTCTTAGTTCTGTGTAAGTATTATATAAAATAATTAATAGACATTACCTTATCTGACATAACTAAGAGTAGTCTGTTTCGTTGCAAATTAGTTTAATCAATTTTTAATATAAACATGTATTTACAACATGATTATTTTGAATTTTTTATTATTGGATGCTGTGCATCTTTTTCTTATATAACTGACAAGATTAATTATGCTTACGATATTGATATTTTTGACTAGAAACTTACACAAAACTAAGAAGACGAATTAATTTAATCAAAATTATATAAATTTAGCTTATAATAATTTTGTACTTTATATTTTATATAACATTGAAAATGACTCGATCGGAGTCGAAACGTTTGTTTTTGTAATGTTTATATCATGAATATTTGAATTAAAGTATTGTTCATTAAATTACTTTGCTCTTTGCCCTCATTATATTATACTGTTTTATACATATAAAGCCTTATAATCACTTTTATTTTATTATTTTCTTTATTGATAAAAAGTTCTGAAGCTTAAAATGTATTTGGAATTATTTTATTTAAAAATGTAAGAATTTGAATTTATCATATTATACTAAATTGTATTATCTACACAAAAAAATAGGAAACAACTGGATATGAATGTATAGTCTGAGAGATTTAATATCTAATTCAAGTTGTCGAGATCAAACAGAATAACTCTTTCTCTTGTTTTTTTACAGAGGATTCATATCAGACACAAGTAGTCATCGACGGTGAGGCAGCTCTCCTAGATATTTTAGACACAGCTGGACAGGTTTAAGACTTATAAATTACAATAGTTACAATATTATACGATACATTGACACGCATAACAGAAATGTCCTGACTCTATATACTATTGTACAGGTGGAATTCACAGCAATGCGAGAGCAATATATGAGATGCGGAGAAGGTTTCATGATATGTTACTCGGTAACAGATAGACATAGTTTCCAAGAGACAATGGAGTACAGAAAATTAATATCACGTGTTCGCGCCAACGAGAATATTCCTCTGGTGGTGGTTGGCAATAAGTTTGATCTACAACATCATCGAAAGGTGCAGCAGATGCTGTCGAGTTGACCATGACATATCAGAAATCGTGAATACATCGCGATATACATACACAGCAAGAACAATGAAATATTGATTTCTCACATACATTGAACTTGTCACCTATTTTAGGTGACCACGGAGGAAGGCAAGGCATTGGCGGACGAGCTTGGTTGTCCATTTTACGAGACATCTGCCGCTCTCAGACAATTCATAGACGACGCATTTTTCTCGCTGATCAGGCAAATTCGCACTAAGGAGAGGTCTCGTAGACGCAGTAGATGGTGGAGAATTCGTTCGATCTTCGCCTTTATCTTCCGACGGAAGAGACATGCTTCTCACCGTACTGCGTAAAACTGATTTTTTATGAGTTCTTCATTAGAGAGATTGTTGTCGAGAACTGACAAACGGTAGCAATGATGGGAGTAATATCAGCGCCACAACGAAATAGATATTACCCATAACTTTAATTTACGCGATACATAGTTACCCTTATTTAGAGACTGACAAATCATTAACATTTCACTGCCTTATCATTGACCCTAGTACGTATTAAGTGTACGCAGAAGTTTTAGTCTTTTTTTTCAACCTTCTGGTATAATTATTTTAAATTTATATAATTTATCACCTTTTCATCTATATGTAATATTAATGTCAAATTATTTGCAACGCTATAGTTTATAATTTAATGATACACATAATTTTGCAAAATAAATAGGAAATAGGAATTACAGTAAATAGGAAAAGTGACGAAAAGCTTTAAATTTGATTCGGCATGAATTGTAGCAAAAAAAAAAATGCTAAAGCATGTGCATCAATCTGTTTTGTTCTTGACGAGAATACTGTGTCTTACAATATTGGTTTCGTTATTTTAAAAATAATAATTTTGATATTTATATAATTAAGGTCTTTGTATATCTGATGAGATATAAAAGATGTGCTCTATTAAGGACTTCTTAAATTGGATGAAATTATTGATGCCAAACACTATTATCAATTGTTTAAATGATTTGAAATGATAATTTTAATATATCATTCAGCATTATTAAGATCAATCTAAGATGCGTAAAAGAGCATAAAAAATTATTAAATTGCTAGTTAATTTAACTCGTGCTGTTATTGCGATAATTTGGTGGAGTTTGCGTTTTAAAACCAAAAAAAATATTTAGCAATTTAAAAGACTACATATGTAGTATATAAATTCACACAGAATTACACAAGTACCTAAGATCCAACTATGGCCATTAAAAGCTTTATTTCTCTTTTGGTTGTATTTCTCACATACGGTCCTATGATATTTAAAATTTAATATTATTTAAATGATTTGGAAAAAAAGCAGAAGAAAAGTACTTATATATATTACATGTAAACAAAACAAAAATTAAAAAAGCTAAAACTTCTGTATACATCTAATATTTTGAGTGCAAAGCAAGGTAAAATTGTTAAATAAGCTGGAACGCACATTTTGTATTCATCTTATAACGTTTTTCATTAACAAAACTAGTGTGTACTCAATGCATTTTAAAGCCGTTGTATACAGATCGATATAAAGATGTAATCTAGATTTCTGTAGGTTTTTAAAATTTCTATGTTTTTATCAAGATTTAATGAAAATATAGAAACGAATTAAACTGCGAAATCCTCAATACATCTTATTGTGCTATTTGATAAAATATATATATTGGGCATTTTATCAATTTAGATACCTCACTTTTACATTTAGATTAGAGTAATGTATGACGGTTTTAATGTGCACTGAGTGCGTATCAGTTCTACCAATGAAAAACGCTATTAGACTTGAGATCTCGAATCAATCATTCGTGCTGCTCAATTAACGAAATATGTATAGAGCATAATACATAATAAATTCATACTTTATGTAGAGAAAACAGCACATATTTGTGACTTCCAGTTTTCTATAATGACGATTTCTCCCTATTTATCTCGCGAAGGCTGTTAATGTTTATTTAAGTTAGGTTTTACAAATATCAGTGGCGATAAACAAAACCTAAGGCAACTAATTTTGAATAAGTAAATATCTGACGAATCACTTTTTTAATAGTTATAGACATGTTACGACACGTTAAATTTTATTTTATTAAGTAACACACGCGACCAAAGAAAAGTATATGAAATGTTAATGTAAAGCAAAAGTGATTCTTAGCGGAGAAAAATAAAAACGCAAGATATAAAAGCTTTATATAAAAACTTTACAAGATGAATAGCTGCAATTTTAAAACGTGTGTAAAAATTGAATTTTATTTTTTTTAATTGAATTCAATGTAAAATATGAAGAGTCTGCTGCTACAAATTATGAATGAGAGCTTATAAAAGTTGCAGTAAATTGTAAAGTTTAGAATTGTTATATATTTAGTATTATTAATTATTATATCTCAACATAAATGATATGAACTCTAAATTATTTAAAAAAAATATTTCTTCATTAAAACATATGAATATGTCTATTACAGACATAAATAATTGAACTGGCAATAAAAGTAAATATATTATTTCTATACAGACACGAAAGCTCAGAAAAAAATATCATGTAGATAGGTGTTAAAATAATCAGAGTTTATATATACATATATGTGGTATAAATTATATTCCAGTTCAAAGAGCATTCGAGTGCAGTTTAATATTTACAATAAATATTCTCATCATATACATCTCATCAAAAATATATAATATATTTATGTAATTTTTAAAAATCAATCTAATCAGTCATTAATTATTCTTTAGTTTAATTTAGTCATCAACTGGTGTGAGAGATTTGTAGTAGTTTTGGAAAGAAAGTCATTAATATATACACATACAAATGTAGCGCAATCATTTAGACATTAATCCATATAGTTATTTTCTAGTCGTTACTTAATTTTTACTAGTCATTTCGTCATTTTGTATTTTGTTGTAATATATATACATATTTTAATTACATATAACCATTGATTAACGCACAATTTTTCATTGTAATTCTCTCGAATTTGTTGTTATGTATTACGATTGATATTACAGTATGTACCGTGAATGTATATATGTGTACTATTATATATGACATTACATACTGTTAAATGAAAAATATTAGATTTGTATACTTGTTTAATATTATGTTTGTATAATTTAAAATTTTCTATGTTCAATGACAGCTTTTGTAAATTATTGCAAGCACATATATATATATATACATAATATATTATACATATTATGTTATTAGAATGTATTAATAATTTATTTTAAAATCATAGCAGCGAACGTGACTCTATTTGTGGCAGCAAATACAAGTATTTTATTGACAGCATTTATGATGATAAGTTTGCAATATATAATTGGTATAAAGAATGATTGTATCGATTGAAATAAACGTACCAATACACGCACACACACACACACACACATACACGCATGTATGCATTTGTGTGTAACTACATGTTTAGAGAAACTTACATAATTTGCGACATTGAAACATAGAATATTCGTGCGTTCATATCAGTAAAAGAGTATTAGAATTATTGTCTTAGAATTAATGATATGAAAAACAGAAGTAATTGTTAATGAGATAAAGTAACTATGGCCATCGTATGTATCATTATGTCGTCTTGTGTTATTATTATCACTATACATAAAAAAGAAAAAAATAGTAAGAAAAGTTGTTACATGTCATTAAAGATATAGGTAACATTATCATGTTATATATCATATTTATCAATTAGTTAGAGATTATGCCTCAAACATAATACCATATAAATTATGGATCTCGTACATGATAAGAGAACATAATGGAAAACAAAGTAGTGACAGGTATGTGTAGAGAACAATAATTTATAATTTACGAGGACAATATGATAATCAACGATCACTTTGATGTTATATTTTTATTTCATTTTTACATAAACTTTAATATGTAAAATATTCAGAAAGAGAAACTGCAGACTAACACATGTAATTTTTTATGCAATAGATGATAAACTCGATGCTATACTATTTAATGATATACATAAACATTGTATAAGTATAAACCGTAGGAATTTTGCAATAAAATTGTGAAATTTTATGTAAGCTGAATATATTTTGGATATATGCTAACATGGATATATTGATAAAACTGACATATATTTTGCATCATGGATATAAAATAATTTTTTTAATAATAAGATATAAGATATGTAAAAAATGCAACTTTAAAATAATTAATCAATACCATGCCTAATTTTCATTATAAAAAATTTGTCACAAACTCGAGCTGTCTTCATCTTTAATAAAAACCGTAACAATACTCTTTATATCGAAATTTCATTCATTATCCATCCAATAAGACTGCAGTAAAATTGGTAAAGAAAAGTTTAAATCAAGATATTTATGTAAATAAAGACTTTTCTCATTTTTATATTTTTATGTAAAACATTTACAATATTATGCACACAGTTTACTATTTCTTTTAAGTCATACACATAAAACATGCCGTATCAAAAAATTATTGCATACACTTTTTATATCTAAAAATTAGCGTAATAATTATTGGCATTCATTTCCAGATCTTTCAATGATCACAGTAATTCGCTCCCTACATAGAGATTTCACATATGGCCTCAAACGTATGTATATAAAAACATGACCACCTTTGGCACATCCATACATTACTTATTATCATTATAATTTCATCTTCAGTATTATAGAACAAAATTATACTTTTAAGATAATAACGTATAAAAAATATTTGTATCATAAACAATTAAATGTGCATTAAATGTACGTATGATACAATTGAGCACAATATTTTACACAATGCATAGTTAAAAGATTATAATCCACGATGTGAATCAGAATACCACTTAATTTATATATATATTTAAAACTAAGTATCTCGCGCTTTGCAAGATTGCATTATTTATGTCTAAGTTATATTTCGTAATACTGACATAATTTTGCTACTAGATTTCTTTGTGACATCTTGCATTTTATCATCTTCTTCATAATTGTCTGGAAATAGCGTATCCTCTGTGTTTTGTACGTCATCTCCATTGTTATCTACATAAATAATAAAAAAATAAAAATTATTGTAGGTTTATTGTCCCTTTCACAAATTTAAAAATCCAGATTTCTATGTCAAATTTAATTTAGTATGTGTAATAATAATAATAAAATAAAAAGAATGAAGTCTAATTGAGATTTTATTAAAAGTAAACTAAGAACAAGTTAAATGCGAACATTATTACTTTTATAATTTACAATATTTCAGAAAGGTAAAATTTAAATGTATGTAGTCATCGCTATGTTCAAAGTTTTAATTACCACGTGCACGATTTTCAGGATCGTCCAAAATGTTGGCAACTGGATTATCCTGCTCTGCGGAATTATTCGTCGTGTCATTGATTCGTTTCGATTCCGTTTCAACTGAAAGCCATGTAAGCTAAATTACTATATTAAAATAAAACATTCATACGTGTTTCTGAAAAATTTTAATTAATGTTTGTTTTGTTATACAGAATATGACAATTGTATGTAATAAGAATTATTATTAGATACGCGTGTTAGTGACTAATAATTATATGCAACTTCCTGAATCAGCACTGGTGCACTCCATGTAGTTAATATAAAATATGTTAGTTTTTTATATACCACAGCTTTATAATAATATTAATAATAATTATCCGCAACCAATCCACTACCTTTGATATAAATAGCCTAAGGCCTAGAAGCAGGAATATCTTTTGTTGAAAGTATTACACATGTAATATGTTTTTTTCATACTACTGAGAAACTTGTTTTACGCTTGATATTTTTAGAGAGTTAAAAATGTTTTATAATTTATCACATTTTGTTTTATTATTTAACATATTTCTATAAATACAAATCAAAATTTATGATGTACATTTTTTTAATGGTTTATATATTATTTAATCATAAAATCCTATTAATAAATACAATATTATAACAAGCTGTAAATAAATCGCAAAATATTCTAAAAATATTCACAAACTTAATAATTGTCGTAACTTAGTTATAAATTATAAATAATTTTATTCCATTCACAATTCTATATATACAGATTTATTTTTACAAAGTACATAATTTAATTTTTTTTAAATTAGCTTAGGAGAAAACAATATATTTATTGTTAAAACAATTTAAATAATACAATTCTTATAAAAAATAAATTATTGCATCTATTAACTTAGAAATTGTACTTGTGCGAATGTGCGATTCTCAGTCTATAAACTGTATAAATTTTTATAAGTATATAAATATTTTGTACTCTATTCTAATATATACAAAATTAGACTTTGTAAGTCTAACATAAAACCTAAGAAAGTTAACTATTACATCTGTATTTCATAAGACACAATTTTGTATTATAATGTTAAAAACAGTCTTTTATATGAAAATTTCAGCGTTTGATAAAGAAATAATAATTTATATATATCATTATGAATGAACCCGAAAGTCTAAGAATGATCCATAATTAAAAGCAATATGTACTGTATTCAATGAAAAATTCATTATCTTTTGCTAATAGGAGGCGATGTAGCAGGCAAAATAGGGATATCGAGATTATTTCGCCCATTTAACTTTCTAAGCGTGTCTTATTTACGTATATAAAATAAGATATATATCTCCACTTTGGCCACTATGTTGCCTCCTATGCACGAAGGACAGTAAATTTCTCATTGAACAGAATATAGTGGATTTGTTTCTAAAAGAGCTTTAGAGAAAGAGTCACAGATATATGAAAATGTGAATGTACAAATCTACTGCAAACTTTTAATTTCATGTTTGTGGCAGCATTCTCTCGCCTCGAGGACGGAGAAAGGTATCACTACCTTTCTTCAACATAGTCACTGAGAAACGAGGAGTTTGGCGCACAGCACCAGGTGGGTTGCTTGGTAGGATCGGAGTTCCGTGGAACATCAAACCTCGCTGACCAGCTACGGATACTCTTACAGCAGACTCCAGTACAGGATGCAACTGAGGCTTGTTAATGACCACTGTCGTTGCTAGATGAGCAAATCCCGACAATATCTTATAATACTGAGTCAGTAAAAAATGTGCAAAAGGGAACGAGCTTGTAGTCGCATTAATTCTTGCGTGAGCAGCCCAATCGGAGTTAGAACTTATTGGGGATATTGACGAGATTAAAAAAAAAAGAAAAATAGAAGATATTTTTTCCCGTTGTTGAAGCAGGGTGTGCAATTAGTAATCTAAATTAGCAATATCTCCATTCGTACAATTATACTAATAATATACTGTAGATATTTCTTATATATTATATTAAACTTATTTAAAATTCTTATATTAAATTAACTACTTTAGAGAAAAATTAATTTCAGTAAACATTTAGTTATAAAAATGCAGTTATTTATCATAATAGAAAACGTAAATTTTGGAGTAAATGTCAAACAAAATTCGTGATAAAGATAATTATAACTTACGTGGTTCAAGATTTGAAATCTCTTTCTTCTCAGGTGGTGAATTGCAACCAAGCTTGAGTTGATCTATTTCTCCTTTCAGCTATAACATCACCATCAATTTTATTACACTTTTCAACCATATTTAACTTTACATTAGTATCTATTATTAATTATTAAATAAAAAGTTCATACTTTATCTAGTTCTTCTTGAAGTTTTTTATTCTCATCTCGCTTCACATCTAATTGAGTATTAATTGTATCCTTTTCTAATCTTAGTGTTTCTAACGTTGCAGTTTTCGTGGCGTCCAGTTTGTTTAGCGAGTCTAGCTCACTTTTGCACATAGTAACTGAATCTTCGAGTTCCTCATTTTTCTTTTTAAAATCCAACTGTTGCTCCAAGCGGACATGTAAGGAAGCCAACTCATCTTCTGTGTGCTTAAACCTTTGTTCCAAGTTACCACGCAATGTTACGCACTGATCTCTTTCTTCAGCACTGAAAGAAAGATTTAATTTTAGAATAAGATTTGAAATTGTGTTAAACATTTTTATATTTTGTAATAATCTGAAAAAAATCTGGCAATGGTGATATTATAAACGTGCATTGTACATACATTTCAATTCACATACATTTATCGCCTTACAAATTACATAACAATCGTAATCTAGAAAGAGTAGAAACTCGCAAAGTTTCTGCAACAATCTGACATCCACATTTCAAGCAGCTACCTTCATTATAAACATTTAAATGGCCTTTAGTAACACAACTCTTTGGTAACCACACAATTACCGCTGATTACCACAACTAAATTATGTACTCCAATGACTGTCATTCATTGCAGAGACAATGGTTAATTAAATTCCAAGTACGCAGTAAGATTTTACTTGATGCAACCAGCGATAGTCACCAGTTTAAACTCACCTTATCTTAAGCTGTTCGTTCAGGTCGTCGATCTGCCTGATGAGCTCCAGATTCTCGGAAGACAGAGTCCACCAGCTGCAGACGAGCATGAGGCACACCAGCAGAAGTCCTCCGACTAAGAGGGGCGGGCATCTGCCACCGCTGACTCTCATACTGTCGATTCCCATCACTCTTGCTTTCGTGTCGTACGCCGGCTCTCGTTCAACGGAACATATGCCACCTTATCGTCGATCTGTTTTCTGGAAACAACCTACGTGTCACGCGCGTTTTTTTTTTGCGAAACGTGAGCCGCGCGTAACCCCACTCCGTGGAATGTGGTTTGATGCGCGATGCTCGTCGGGCGGCGAGGCAAGCCCTACACGTTGACGTCGCCGACGACGCGCTACGCTTCGCCTCTCTCTCAGGAACGGTTTCGCGCGATGGCCATTTGAAAATCGCGTGTTTTTAGGCACTTTACGGCGGAGGCGTTCTCCGATATACGCTGCCGGCGCCGGCAGCGATACGACGCCAGAATCCAGACACGACAGCGCGGTTTGGTGGCTATTTCATTTGTGCTGCGTTTTAATCGCACGACAGATATGTGTGCAGAACAGAGAGGATCTCAATGATATTCAATAACCAATGATATTCAATCAACAGGCTTGAAAAATTTGCCGTACGACGAAAACGCGTACAAATGAAATCCCATCCTTTTCCGATCCTTCCTGCGGACGAGTATATAGGGTGTTCCAGAAGGAACGCATTAAAATATATATAATTACTTTACAGATTCAAGAGTCTATTTCCTCTTCGATCAAATAATATTATACTTCTGTCATTATTATTTTAATATTAAATGTTGGCTAATTTTTTTATTAAATTTGAAATTTATACGTGACTTTATTTATCAGAAATTAATTTAAAGTTTTGTTATATATTTTTATCAAAATAATTCAATGAGATCTTTAGCTTTTTGAGTTGAAAATAATAAAAAATGTATATGTCGTTAGAGACGTCAAAGAAATGTATCTATTGTTAGTTTACTTTGGATGATTTATTGTTTCTACTATAGTGACTGGAATGAAAACTGTTTCAGATTTCAGATCTACACGATAAATCGATCGATCGATATCTCTCGCTGTCTATTCAAATCATTCTCCGTTTGTCGGAAGTATACATTATTGTTTATAATTATTTACACCGCATTCTTTATTTATTTAATATCGTAAAAAAAAAACAAAATTTAGTTTTCTTTTGCAACTATTATATTTTACCCGGCATTTTTATGTGTCAACGCAATCACGAATTATCAGCTACTTGTCTCTAAAAAGATAGAGAAAATTCTAGGTCAGCGGTAACCTTGGTGAGATAAGCGCATATTTAACATAATATTATATGTTATAACTATAAATAGAAGGAACAAATTTTTGTATAGTTATTGGCATTGCTAATCGCGTAACAATATATATAATTATAAATTTGTTTCTTAATGAAATAACATACTTCTCAATTTTAAAATATAAAAATCTTAATACGACTCTTTGTGAATCAGTGAATCATCTTGTTAATAGAAACTTGCAAATGATTTTACGAGAATTTTCCAATTGATTAATCGTGCTTGTCTACATTCTATAACCGTTAATAGAAAACGTATAACACTTTGCATATGGCATGCGATACAATCGATTTCTAGATCCTTGATGGAGATAGATTTACGGTTTGGTCATTTAAGGACGATTATCCCCTCTGTAAACGTTGAATCATCGCGCCGTATAAAATCCGCTGGATATGCATTGGAAAAAATGACCCTGCTGCTATCTTTCCTTTCACGATTCCCAACAAAATATCATATATTGATCTATACCATTTGCAATTTAAATGACTGAAGAAATTTTAATATACATACAATGTATAACAGCAGATTGAGTTAATTTGACGTAAAAGAAATATTAATCTATAAAAAAGTTGATCGAACGGTAAGATAAATCATCTTTTTACTTTATACATTTTTCACAAGTATAGGTAATAAAAGTCATAATCCAGTCTCTTACATGCATTAAATTATATTTTTATAAAGAATTAATCTTGTTATGCTTATACATCAAATATTGAAATTAAAAGTAAAATGACAAGAAAGTTAATCAACTATTAACTTAAACAAGCGTCAAAATTAAATTATGTAATTTATACGTTCTAACAACAATACCTTTAATTGTAGTTTCACGCTAAAGCAGATCGGGATTTTAGCAGACGAGCACAGGTAAACATCTACAAATTATGTACACTTATGTACAAAAACATCGCATTTATTCTGTTTTTTATATGTATATATAATATATATTTACTTAACACTGTTTCATCGAAGAGAACTCATAGCCGATTAGAATTAGAGCAAACAGAATTATATCCGGTTTGATGAAAAAAAAAAAAAAAACCAACAGGATCTTGTCACCGGATTTACGGCACGCGGTTCCTTCTAATGAACTAATCAGATACAGAGTTCAGGACAATTGAAGTTCGATCGTCGATTGTGATGCACAGTGTGCAGTCCTGTCCGCCAACAGGATGAGACTGATGCGCGACTCGCCGTTTGTTCGCTTATTATCTCGACGAGCGTGATCGCAACCAGTAACACCGGTCTGATAAAACGCATTCCCGCTCGCGATGCACTGTTTGCAGCGATCGAAACTGTTTCTGACACTTATCTATACAGTAATAGGATCGTTATTATTCAGTTATGCAGTTATCTCTTTTCTTACAGGCTCTATTTTACACAATTTGCTCGATCTACTTTTTGATTTCGACAAATCTTAGAAAAATGGAAATTCGACGCGTATAGATAAATTTTTATCGATCATCTGACGCGAGAATCTTAATATCGTTATTAACGTGAGCCGATTATTTATATCGTAATTTTATATAATTGTGGACTTGATTTATACTTTCTTTAATATTCGATTATTCATATTATACAAAATATATCCGAATTATAAAATAATAGAAAAGAACACGGCTGTTCCCATCAATTTCAGAACTTATTTAATTTTATTTAATTTATTCATGTTCGTGAGTTTATTTTTTTTTATTAATTTCACATCTTATGCTGGGTTGTTCCATCTTTCGGTAAACTCCAGTTCACTGTGTTACTCTCTTACTCTTCTGTATTCTTTTATTTATAATCCAATAAGAAAATTATACGGTTTATTTGAAGATGGAACAATCGGCCCTTAATGCTATATATACAATTGAATAATTTTAATAAATTATTTAAAATAAATCAAGTCATAATCAGTATTAAAAATGAATAAATGTATGAGAAACGCAATTTATTCTTTTCTTTCAAGCGGAAAACGATCACCACTTTCGGAACATCCGGTATTGTTCATTTATTCATAGTGATGTACTCGGTATCGATGCATCGTAATGCGTCAGAGTCGCGTGAAGGTTGTCTTGAAAGTGAACAAATCGAGTACGCAACATTTTCTTTTATCACCTTTTCACATTCTTTTCAATATACTCGGCTATATATTTCAAGAGAAATAAAATATATTCTTTTTTTCGAATGGCTTTTCTCGTGCTTTTTTGCATCATTGCGTGTCAGATGCTGGAATCATTTAAGGATCATTTGTCGTGACCTGTATTTCTTGATTATACTGATACTTCTAGGAAACATGAGCCGGTCATTACATTGTTTTTGCTTTGTCTATTGCGAGGAAGAGATCAAGTTTACTTGATCGAATTACGAGATGTATAACGTAGTCAGATAAACCGAACGGCAGATTTAAAGTAGTTTAATTTATTTTTATCTCAATTTTGAAAATACGGTTACAGACAAATTTTTTTAATGTTCGTCGAAAGTTTACGAATTAAAAGCAAATGTATTTGCCATCGACAAATTCAATTAATTTCCTCTTTTTAATTGATTTATTGTCAGTGATCAGTAGCACATGTACTATACATGCAGTTGTAAAAATTGTGATGCATATACAGTGAGACTTTGCATTTTGCAGTATTAAATTCGTGCGATAAAAGCGACGATATTTCCTGCCTAGACTCTGCAGTTGGAAAATATTGCACTAATCAGTTCTAAAAATAATCTGCAAAGCCATCGTGTTAGACGAACGAATTAATAGATATTTGACGTCTCTTCCATATAGATGTACAAATAATGATTCATCAATGAAAAAGCAATTCGTTCCTTAGGCTAACCATGCGTCTTTATTTTTCTGCTGTCAATCGCAGACCCTACTTAATAATATCGTATTAATTAACATAGATATAACATAACATACATTTTGGGTAATTTTTTACATTCTTATATTAAAAAGAGATACGAAAACAATGAAAAATATATTTAATACAGAGATTCTTTTTCATTTTGAACGCTCGATTCTGTAACGTTATCGTTTTACATTCATCGTTGTGCAACAGAAAAAAAAATTTGAAACAGGTATTTCATACATGCAAAGACAAATTTTGAATATGCAATTAGAATATCGATAAAAATTTGTGTTCCATATGTGCATTAGTGTTTATGTGGGTCTGCGATTAGGCACGCTAGTTCCGTAAATATGGCGATATCCGTGTATTATCTAATGTGATTCGAAGGACATATTTACAGTGTGATTCATTGCAAATCCTTAGAAGATGTGTACGAGAGAAAGGATTGTAATTAACACGATCTTCACTTCCTTACTTTTATAATTTGTTACGTATATTTAATCTTATATACGCGATTTCTACACACATACATCTTTTTATAATTCCTCTCTCGCACGCATCATTCCAATTTACATATAGTTATAGCTTATTACAAAACGGTATAGTTATTATGTATCCATCACTATATGTTGCGAAACTTTCGTCGTGTGATGTACTATTATAAATCAATTAGATACTCACAATCAAAAGTATCTAATCTTGCCCGGCGACATGTGTACATCAAACCGGTAATCCTTATCAAAAAATACAAATCCGCTTAATATCATTGCAGGTTTCATGCAGTGCAATATCATCCATTTAGCACACATTATCCACAACGCGCTAAATTATATCCGTTGAAATATAATTGGAACCTTTTATTATCCTATCATATGGCGCGTAAATCACTTTCACCATAATCTCTTTGCCGGTGTTTTCTATTAACCTGCGAATTTTTAAATATACGATTAAGATTTAGTATAGAAAAAGGATTTGTATAGGAAAGTTATGGTCCAACGTTGACTTGGATCTTTTGGTCTCTCGTACAGCAGATTAGTTCAATCAGATTGAAAAGTTTTTTCAATCAGTATATATAAAAATAAGTAGATAAATAAATTATGTATTCGTCAA